GGCCATCCCTATATGGGATCTGAACCAGGGGCCTTGGTGTTCTCAACACCGCACTCTCCCGAGTGAGCCACGGGCCAGCCCCCAAAAATAGACATTGAAATTCTTTTTTTTTTTTTTCCTTTTTGTCTTTTTTCGTGACCGGCAACGGATCGCAACCCGCAGTGTCGCACCCGTACCAGACCAGGACTGGCAACGGGATCACAACCCTCGGTGTTGCGCCCGCACCTTGCTCAGCCAGTGAGCGGCCGGTCTGTATGTGGGATCCGAACCCTCAGCGGGAGCGCCGCCGCGCTCCCAAGCGGCGCACTGTAGCAGTGTGCCACCGGGCCAGCCCAACCCCTCCTTTAAAAACTCCTCAGTAAATCTAAATCTTGGAGATGGGATAGCCTACCATCTCCTTCCAATGAGTACATCTGCTTTTCTAACACCAACCATTTGACTTATGAGTTTTTTTTCTTTCCTTCTCAAGGGAGCAGGCAGCCAGACCTGAAGTTCAGTAACAAGTCTTTCTGCCCAAGAAATGTCTTTAATACCAGTTTTAGAACCACTTCCACCCCCATCTGAAAAACTTTTCCTATTGATGGAGAAAAATGCTTGTGCACCACAAGTTCCTGACTGCCAGGGTGGGACTCACGGTGGTGGAATGTTTTGATAGGAATTTTCTATAGACATAATAATTCAGGTAAGGAATGATTTTATGAGAAAATTTTCAAGCATGATTACTTTTTTAAAACCAGTCAAAAATTGTGCTTTATTTTAAAAAAACATTTTCCCAGCTTATCTAGAAACAGTATATGGGCCAAATAAATTGTTTCATACTGAGATTGTCTCTTAGCACATTCAAGGGGGTTGATAAAGACCATGTCTTTGCTCCTATCACTGCTCTGGCTGTGTTTTGTGAATGAAGCAGGTGTGCTTTCCATTGCAGTCTCTAAAATGAGCTTGCCAAAGACAGCAAGACGTGGTCCTTGAAGAAGCTGATAGAGAAATATGCAATTCAATTATAATGTGGTCAAGTACAATGGGGGATATTTTACAAGCAAAGAAGAGGAAGGAATATCTGCCTGGGGAGTTCAGGGAAGCCATCCAGAGGAGGAAATACACTATTAGAGTGGAGACTTGAAGACATTTTCAGAAGAAAGTTCATCCTGGGCATAAGGAATAGCACTCGCAAAGATGTGATAAGGGAATAGTCAAGGACCTCCATGCAGTTCAGAACTACCACAAACTGGGAGGGTAGGTGTATTAATCAGGGTTCTACAGAGACAGAATTGATAGGATATGTTATAAATACATGAAAGGGATTTTATTTAGGGGAATTAGCTCACGATTGTGAAGAGAAGTCCCATGATAGGCCATCTGCAAACTGTATGCCGGTAGCGTGGCTCAGTCCAAGTCCAAAGGCCCTGAAACCAGGAAAGCCGATGGTGTCCTTGGTGTAAGTCCTGTAACCCAAAAGCTGAAGAGTCTTGTGCTCTGATGTCCACGGACAAGAGAGAAGAGTGTATTCCAGCTCCAGCAGATAGAAAGCTTTGCCTTTTTTTCTATCATTTGTTCCCTTCAGGACTCCATTGACTGAATGGTTCCCGCTCACATGGAGGGTGGGTCTTTCCCACCTGGTCCACTCAGGTTCTCATACTAATCTTTGCTGGAAACACCCACATGGACCCACCTAAAAAGATAGCTTTCCCAGCCTCCTCAGCATTCCTTAATCTAATCAAATTGACACCTAGAATTAATCTTCATAGTAGGAAGGAAACAGGCTAAATGAACCAAGGTCAGATCATGTGGACCTTGAAGGCCATGCTGGGTTCCTTAAAAGTCACCTGATAGTTGGGAGAGTGAGGGACAACATCTTAGAAGGTGGCAGTGGGGGTGTTTGGGGTGGGGAATGAAGGATTATTCGAAGGCCATGCTTTTCTGCATGTTATGGTATCTGCCTCAGGGAATATAATATAAGCAGAAAGCCTTGGTGTGGTGGGAAAGCTTAGTAGCC